AGTTGTACCAGTCTGCTATGCTCCACCCTGAGGCAGGCCAGGAAGATGACTCACAGTCCATTTTGAATATGTATGAAGTGAAAGAAAGCTATAAAAAGGGGCCAATGCCCTACAAAGATGGCCAGGTTGACTTTTAAAGGCACCTCTTGCTAAACTGAGGATGATCAGATCAGAAGGACTACTCGGTGTCATGTGGTCCACCCACTGTACCAGCCAGGAGATGCTAATTCTATATTAAGTACTTGCCACATGTAACTCCACCAAGAGAAAAAAAAAAACACTTGAAAAAATACACCCCCTGTGCCCTCCAAGCTGACTGATGTTGGGCAACTCATATATCCTCTCTCTGCCTCAGTTTTCTCATCTTTAAAATAAGGATAATAACAGTACCAATCTCATCTGGCTATTGTGAGGATTATATAAGTTAACATATATAAAGTGTTTAGGAAAGTACACATCACACTGTAAGCTCTACATAAGTGATAGTCATTATCTTGACTATTACTGTGTGCCATATATCTTGTGCCACATATTCGTATTAATACTCACAACAAGCCAATAAGGAATGCACTGTTATTATCTCTAAAACTAAGGTCAGAGATATTGGAAGTAATTTGCCCAAAGTGAAAGAATCTAGGCCAGACTCCCTCTAAAGTTCACGCTCTAAACCACCAAACCACAGCAGAATGATGATCCCTTAGTGGAGCAACCAGCTGCCTTGGAAGATTTCTGAGTCAAGAATCTCAGAAGACTTGGGTTCTAGGCCCAGTGCCGCCATCAATTCACTATGTGCTCTTGAGAAGTAGCTTAACCACTCTCAATATGTTTCCTCATTTGGACAATGGTGATAATACAAAGGTTCCTGTTTGTCTCACATCACATGGCTGCTTGAGAGCATCAAATCAGTTCATGTAAGGGAAACAGCCCTCTCAGAGTTCAGGGCTCTCACCCTTTTCTTCCTCTGCCCAAACTGCACCACACATTTCTTTGTCTTGCCCCAAAAAGTACAATTCCTTACCACTTCCCCCTTCCCCACAGGTCTTCTATTCTCTTCCATTCCTCCAGGATTTTGCTCACACTGTTCCCTCTGCCTGGAACTTATCTGCCCCGACTGGATAGCCAAGGCCACATCTCATTCATCTCAATATCCCAATGCCCAGCACTCCATTCTAATTACAGGTTGATTGTCTGATGTAGGTTTGTGGCCTGAGCAGATCCAGGAACAGAAAGACAAGGGAAGCGTCATCCTTTTCATACAATTCATTTTCAATGCTGCCTACTGACAGGAGGGCAGGGAAAGAACAAATCCATCCAGCTCCACGTTTGATGTCCTCGTCCCAGAAGTATGCCTCATCAAACCACGTTACCTTTTAAATAGATGCTTTTTCTGCCTCCATCACGTTGGGTTTTTGCGTTTTCTCCAATTTCTTTGAATTCAATCATGCAATGGTAAACTGTAACAGGTTCTTGGGTATTACATAACCAGCAGTGAGGGGCAGAGTGTCATGAGGAGGAAATCACAACCATATACAATTAAGTTCCCAAACATGAGTTACAAACTTGGGGTCCTGGTAAAAGTCTCCAGAAGAAAAATCTATTAAAAAGAAGTTGTCAGACATATGTTCCTTCTCCCCTCGTCTCAAGTGGATCTAATGAGTGTGAAGGGTGGCAAAGTGACAGCTCAACGAAACCTCAGGTCAGAGAAATTAGAAATGGAAATTACCCAGAAACTGCAGTCCTTGGGAATAGCTTCTTCTCCCTGCTGCTCCATTAAGCTGCTCTAAGGCACTGATTATTACTTAGAGGTATGGGTGACACTTCCACTCATCCATTTATTTTTCAGGAGTTCTGGGGGGTGGGACAGAGCAGGAGTTGCTTCATGAACTCTAGTCCCCATAGGCTGGCAGGGGCCAGGGGTGGTAAACGAAGTTGGGCAAAAAGACCCAGAATGTTCACGGAATAAATTGGGGGTGGGTCAGACCTGGCTATAATGCAAGACCTTCTGCTTTCTCACCAGATGCTCTGATTTATTGAGCAGGCATCAACTGCCTATATGCCACCAACCCTCCACCCTCTTTCCCAATCCCTCTTCAAGGCAGATTAATCTCTGAAGGTTTCCCCTATAACTCCTCTTTCTCATTTGACAAATTAAGCTAAAATTATCATGCGCTGCTTCTGACAGCCACCCTGTTTGCTCAAACATCTGGGGGAGGCAAGAGAGTGGCAGAAACAGTAAAGCACTGCTTCATTTTCTTCATTTGCAAGGCTTGCCCAAAGCAGCCCTCAGCAAGCTGGCATGATCTTTCTCTGCAAGTTTAACTGCTTGGGCAGGTGGAACTTACAAAGAACCTATACCAAGACACCGGTGAGGTTGCCAAGAGTCAGCAAGTCATGGAATGGAAACGTCCTATGGTTTTCTGAGGGAGATCCCTCAGCACTCATCCACCTTTAACCTTACTGGGATTTGGATTTTCCCCCAAAGGCAGTCTTATTGTCTTGTTAAGATATGGACCCTTTACTGCAAAAACAAGTCCCTGTAGTATCACAAAGGGAAGCAATTTGGCTGTGGGAAGTAGAAGGTTAGAAGAGTATGCTGTGCAGTAGTGAAAAGAACACTACACAGGGAATCTCCAGATTAGATTCAAGTTTTAGCTTTGTGTGGCCTTGGTCAGAAATAAGCATCTCAGACTTCCACCATCATTACAAGGTGTGTGTGTGTGTGTGTGTGTGTGTGTGTGCACGTCTATCTGCAGGTGTGCATGTGCACAAGCATAGCCAGAGTTGTTCTAGGGGAGTCCCCAAAGAGCCCTGGCTACTCTGACATTCTAGAAGTCTTTAAGACCAGATATGGCAAACGTGACAGATACTTTAGACCTGGCTTCTGAAATATACCCATCAGGACTTGCTGGAGAAAAGGCTTCCTAGAAGGCAACCCCTCTGGAGCTGGTAAGTTCCACAGTGACCCCAGAGTCTGAAAAGGGAACCATAAGGAATTTTTCTTCTTACCAATTTAGATGAAGAAGAGCTTTGTCAAGAAGGAGGGTGCCGGGGTTGTGCAGGCTGGGATGAGATCAGAGGACCAATCAATCATGTTAACAAAGGAGGCAGAAGAGCAATTTTTCTCCTATCAATCCTCGTTCAGAACTGCCTTTTTGTTTCCCACCCTCACTCCCAGACAAAAACACATGAAATTCCTTCTGAGATGCCAAGTCTTTAAATGATAGTTCAGTGCTTTCAAGTTTGGTATTAATGAAGCTCCATGGACAGGCCAAGGAATTTCAAGCTATTCTTGGTTCCCCATGGCCCCAGCTGCAGGGACTGGAGGCCCAGAGCACATGGAGGAATTAGATCTTCCAGGTATTGGGAGGAGGGAAGATGTTCCAGAGAACAGGAAGACAACCGCTGCTGGGAACATCCTCTTACAGAGAACACTGCCAAGTGTAGGAAAAAAGAGGCCTGCTAACTAGCCACAATTTCAGAGTGCCTTAGAGTTGATGGGCTTGCTAGACGTCATTTGATCCAGCCCCCTGCCTCTGATCAGGCAACTAGCCAAAGCAAACCAAACACAAGGGAAGGAGAACTTATGATTTCCTAATAAGTCTGGGCCAGTGCTGGCTTCCTCTTATGAGCAAGAGGGTCTGTTTATACAGAATCATCATTTTCTCTGCATCTCAAAGAATCACTGTTGTTTTCTACACTGTATGGGGACATTATCCTTCAAATAAGACTCAAAAATATGCCAGCTGCTCAGAATTGTAGTCTTTTCTAGCCAGCTACATTAAGGAGGAACAGAGGTAGCAGGATAAAGGAAAGATGATTTTTCCTGGACCTTGGTTAAGTAGCTGTCTGTAAGGCCAATGCCTAATCCCCTTGAAATGTGCTAAACTGCTTGAAATGTTAGAGAGATATTTCCTCTCAATCACAGCAAATGATACCTGAGTTGAGGCCAGTGGAATGGGGAGCTGGCTCAACATCTATGTTGTAACCATGAGGCTTAAGTTTGCCACTTCCTCCCTGGTAGCATGTCCAGCCTCTCCCATCTTGGTTATATTAGCCTGTGGACTGTCAGATTTCACAACTTGGGCCTGAGAGATAAATGCGAAATGTCATTACTCCGGGTTCGCTTGGCGGGGATAAGAGACAAACACTACATAGCATACTCAACACACAGGTACCTGCAAGGCCTTATAATTCACAGCTCTGTTTCTGCTGAATAGAAACCTCAGGAACCTCAACAGAGCAGTGGCATTACAGAGGCAAAATTTCAATCTATTCGTTAGGCTGTGTACATCCTCTGCAAGGGAGCATCTAGGAAGGGAAGTCTTTAGTGACTTCAGCCACTGAAGGCTTTCTGAGTTCAGAGAAGTTGTGGCTGTTTTCAATGGAATGAAAGGCTGTCAGGGATTATTTTTATAAGCAGATGACAAAAAACAGAATTTGGTCTGTCAGTTGGCAGGGATGATGGTTGTGGCCTCAAGTGTGCAGGCTTCAGTAGACCCAGTAGATGTGTCAGAGTGAGGTGAACCCACCAACAGGAAAAGAAGTATGTTGGACGGCCCGCATCAGAGAACCAACCTTGTATTCCATGTCTGGGAGTGAATTAGTACATACACCTCCTTATCTAGGTATTCACCTGGTGATGATAAAATGCAAGGACTTCAAAAAGCTTTGAAAGGCTACTGAGTCAACCCAACTGTTTTCTGGCAACACCCAAAGAGATGAACATTTCCTTTCTTAATGAAGTATTGCTACAAAGATTTCTCTTTCTTAGAAATCCTACTAGAATTAGAAATCCTCCTCTTAGAAATCCTTCTCAACTTTCTTAGAAAGCTATTCAAGTACATAACACCTCTCATTAACAGGATGTTTTGCCTTGGCTCTAATCTAAGTCCTTCCTGCTGCTCTTCAAATCTAATATCTCTTTGTTCATCCGTGGCTATGATGGGAAGTTCTGGCTAAGCGATTCAGACTCCCCATTACCCCTATGGTAAGGATCCTACCTCCCAGTCTAGGACAGAGGCCTGCCACTGGGCAATCTTGTCGATATTCTCCAAACGCCGCTTGCGCTCATTGATTTGCTGAGTCACATTTCTCATGACAGCCAGAGCAGCTGCCACATACCTGTAGTCACTGTGAAGACACAAAAGTACAAGTTGGATGAATCAATGTACCAGAGAACCATTGTGCTCAGTGGCAACCCTGACATCCATTCTCCTCTTCTTATTTAGTAACACAGCCCTGATTTTCAAATGGAACCTATGCTACATGGAGTAAAAGGCTACATTTTATATACTTTACAGTAAGGGGTGAATATGTAACTAAGTTCTGTCCCATGATATGTAAATAGAAGTGTTGGGCAGAACTCTTCAGAAACCTCCTTTAATGAAGATAACATGCCCTTCTTTGGTCCTTACCTAAACCTGATACTGCAATGTAGATGTGATGGATGAAGTTCTAGGAACCATCTTGGACCATAAGAACAAAGTCCATACTCCTAAAGATAAGATAACAGAAAGTTGGAAGGAGCCCAAGTCTGTGATGACCATGGAGCCACACAGCAGCCACAGACTACCTACCTGCAGACTTCTTTTATAGAAAAGAGAAATAGACTCCTATCTTTTTTTAGCCCATTATTTTTGTGTCCTATCAGATATAACCAGCCAAGGATCAAGAAAGAAGCTTCACACATGGAATGGTCCGGACCACTTTATCATCTCTTCTATCACCTATTTGTAAGAAACTCTGCCCAAAGTCAGTGTGAAATACCATCCACACCTTTCCTCCTGTACAATATAGAGATAGGATGTAGCATAGTGGTTAAGAACAGAATCTGGAGCCAGACTCCTTGGGCTCTAACCCTAGTTTTGTCACTGACTAGTGGTATGACCTTTGGAAAATCTCATTCATCTTTTCAATGACTCAGCTTCATCATCTGTAAAATGGGAAAAATTACAGTAGGATTTCTTCAGGGTTTAATCATCCATGTAAACTCTTTTACTCTTGGCTCATAGTAAATGTTAGCAGTATTATTAATAGAGACCAAACATTTTTCTAGTATAGACATCACATGGGTTGTCTCTCAAAACCTCCAGTCCCAGAAGTGCAACCCTAGGCCCAGCTTCCCAGGACTTTGGATGGCCCACTTGTTGAAGGTTATATCACCCTGCCCAGTTTTCTCTACTTATCTGACCTGATTTCCAATCAAATGGCTCCTGTGGGAAGCAGATTGAAAGTGAGATCCCAGACATTTGGTAAAGCTACAATAAACTGAGAAGACAGGAGGATGAATTATGGTACAGTCTTAACTATCTTTTCCTTAGAGAAGCTGAACATGCCTTGTGGTCACTAACCTGCTCACTGTCCCAGCACCAGTCAGAAAGAAGAGAGGAGGAAAAAAAAAAGATGCAGCAACTGTCTTTTTCTTTCCTACTACATTGAAATGTGGGGTAGTGGACCAAATAGGTACAGAGAAGGCAGTTCTAAATCTCAGGGCAGATACCATATAGCACCTCCTCTTAGCTGGCCTCCCTGGTTCTAGTCTGCTCTCTGCACACCTGCAAGACTATAGTCTTCAAATGCTACTGCATTTTATCACCTCCAGTGACAGGATGCTCACTATATCTCCTAACCAGTCTATTCTGTCTCAAGACAAGTCGTAAAAAAAAAAAACCCTCTTCTTTATTCTGAGCCTTAATGAATGTTAGCTATTATCAGTTTTTCTTCTGGATCCCACTGCTGACTCATATTGAGGTTAATACTAATACTAATTAGTCGACTAATACTTCCTAAGTCTCTTTAAAACATGCTGTTTATAAGCCGCATCTCTCTCAGTCTGTCCGTGAACTGTTGATTTCTTAGACCCAACTGCAAAAGTTTACACTTGTTCCTGTTCCATTTCACCCTTTCACAGTTTCTTGCTCTAGCCTATGGGGGATTTGTTGGTCTTTGTAACATTGTCAAAGCGTCCCCCTGGAAAGACTATCTGAATCTGCCACTTAGAAGCAGGGTAATAGGGTGATGATAGAACAGGTAGCTGCAGTGTAAAAGCTGCTGACATAAATAAGTATCTCTGTTCTTTGGGCCCATTTTCTCTCTCCCACGCCATTCCTCTCTCTGATTTGAGGGCATCAGGAAAATGCCTTAAGACATTTTCTGGGAGGTAAAGCATACAGCTATACTGTCCAATACGGCAGCCACTAGCCACATTTAAATAAAATTAAATAAAATTAAAAATTTAGTTTCTCAGTTACTCCAGCTACATTTCTCAGTACTCAATAGCCATATGTGGCCAGTGGCTACTATATTAGATAGCACAGACATAGAACATTTACATCATTGTAGAAAGTTCTATTGGACAGTGCTGGCATGAGAATTCTTATTACTTCTGCCTGACCCCATGTACTACTCAGCCATGGAGTCATCACTGCCACTGTGCCATACTGCGAGTCAACCTTAGTCATTTTTAGCTGGCTGCTTTCCTCACAATGGTTAGAGGTGGAATGTCCCCATCTCTAACAAACCCCACTCGCTTTAGGACAAGTCACCCTTCTGTAAGTAAAGGTAGTATTATTCTACATTTATCACTCTCCATCCATCTAATCTTCTCCTTAAGAGGCCACTCTGACTGCCTGCATTTCAGACCTACCTATCTGAACACCTATCTGACTAAGCCTTCAGGCTGGCAGCATCCCCTAATTCCCTTCTGATCCAAGCTACCCTGACATGTATCACAGGAGCTGCTATCTTGATACAGCTTTCTAAGGCCTGTCAAAAGGGGTGGCCCATGGCCTGGGGGTAGTGCTGGGCCCAACAGGTCACCCGAAGGAGGACAGGAATTGATGTAGTCATGCACTGCTTGAACTACTCTCTCAGTACTCTGGAGCCCAGGGAGTAGAAGGAGAGGGGACCAGGGACCCAGAGGGCAAGAAGGCCTTGAAGTAGGGTTCCAGTCACAAGGTGAAAGAGCACAATAATGGCAAATCTCAGGCAGATGTTTTATCTTACTGGCTACCACTAATCCCAATAAAGCCCTGGAGTTGCTTTGGCCTAAGAAACTAACATAACTTTTGGCTGTGCTTGGAAAATGGTCTTTCTGGGGCTCTTAAAAGCAGTTATGCAATATATAATTTACCTAATTAATATCATCAGTCCACAAGTATGATTTTTAGAGCCTCTTGTTAGGTTCCATGGAATGGATACTCAGGAGTAGGTGGAAGATGAGCTGTGATATAAAAACATTTGAGGGGCCGGCCCAGTGGCATAGTGGTTAAGTTTGTGTGCTCTGCTTTGGTAACCCCAGCTTTGGAGGTTTAGATCCCAGGTACAGACCTATCACTGCTTGTCAAGCCATGCTGTGGCAGCATCCCACATAAAATAGAGGAAGATTGGCACAGATGTTAGCTCAGTGACAATCTTCCTCAAGCAAAAAGAGGAAGATTGGCAACAGATGTTAGTCTAGGGCCAATCTTCTTCACACACAAAAAAAAACCCCAAACATTTGAGAACTACTCTTTGAATATCCCAGCTTTAAAACCATTAGTCTGAAGCCTGTTCCATTGAGATTTACATATAATAGCAGCAAGAGTGGCTGCTTCTGGTCACTTAGCACCATGAAGTATAACTGTGGAGGGCATTTAGGCTCATGACATCATGGGCTGGCAGAACCAAAAGAGGCCCTCCAGACTGGCTAGTACAATGGCTCACAAACCTTCCTTGGCATGAAAACCACCTGGAGGGCTTTTTAGAAAGCTAGGTTCCAAGACCACAGTCCACACTTTGTGTCCCTGCTTTGCTCTTTGTTGTTTTTTCTTTCTGGGCCTCTCAGTCTTTCCAACCACAGAATGAGGAAATCTGACTAAAAGATTTTCCTTTAAGGGTTTTTCCATTTTAGGTACCATAAATATTTTTCACGTTTATTTTTAAAATATCTTAATTTTAGTAGAAGTTCTTCAGTGTCCTATTAGCTTTCACAAGAAAATGCATCCTTAGAAAACTTGGGACTCAGTTCTGGAAATGAGCTATATTAAATTTTTTCAAGTGAGATTTAGTCACCTCCAAATTTCATGTCTAATGAGTACCTCCACCATCCCCAAGCTAGTAAACAGACTCAGGGAGGAGGAAGCAGAGTCTTCATTTGCAGGGTCCTTCTCTACCTGCCTCCCTCACAATAAACAGAGCATGGAAGGCAGAGTTACCTTCTCTGTTGTTGTTCACACAAAGGGAGAGTCCAGTGCCACCACATTTGGATTCAAATCTGATATCTGTCCAGGGCTCCAGACAACTGAAGCACATGACCCATGATTTGCTAAAGGAACAATATCAAGTTAAAAATGAACCCAGAGATTAGCCTAGAAGCTTGACATAAACAAAACCAACTGGCCCATACCCAGAGCCTTATGTAACTAGGTCTGGAAGTCAGCTCCAAGGAAAGCAGGCAATGGAGCCAAATGAAAGTAGAAAACAGGCCTAATGACAATCAGGCAGAAAGCTAAGGGAAATTGAGCAAAGGCCTTCTTTCTTCTTGGAGTGCTTAATCAGGAAGAGAGTTAAAATCTAGGCCAACAAGTCTAAGGTTAGTGATTTAACACCAATTAAAGACAGGGTGGAAATAGGCTGGGGCTTTAGGTCACGAAGTAAAGCATGTGAAAGAGTGGGAGATGGTTCACTGTAGACCATTCCCATTGCTGGAGATGACTCCCATCATATAACTTACTGGTTAGTGGTATCATTTCCATTCAGAGAGAGATAAGCACCTTGGTCCATGCTGGGTTGGTTTTCTTCAAAATACTAAAAAACTTCAGGGGAAGTCTCAAGTGTATTCTCCCTCAGTCATGCTCTGGGCCTAAGTGAAATGTACAGTTGGGACGAGGCGGAGGGGGGTGGAAAAGACTGAAAAAGACCAGGGAAGCAGCCTTGCGAAAGAAATCTAAGGTCAGTACAAATTGGGAAGGCTGTTACCAGGATATCTGAATCTGGAATTTGAAGTAGAGCAAAATAAATAGTTAAACAATTACTCCATCTGGGTGATTCACTTGGCTGAACTCAGGACTAAAAACCAGGCCTATAAGATCCCTCAAGGCAAGGTCTAAGTTGTACAATAATGATGATGCATACTGATTTTGTGTGCATACTGATTTACAACTTTATAAGCAACTCTCGCAAGCATTCTCTCAGTTTATACACACACCAGCCTTGTGAGCTAAGCAAGAATATATCATCATCCCATTGTGCAGATAAGCTACCAGAAACTCAGAAAAGGCAAAAGGACATATATTCTCCAACGTGTAGAGGAGGCCCTCTCCCTCACTCCTGTCTCCTTCAATCCCTTACCTGTGGTCCTGGGCAGTATACTTAAGGAGCTCAGCCAACTGTAAGGGATACTTGCAGATCTTCTGCACTGGAGTCAAAAGGAAACCATCAATAGCAATGTCGATCATCTGCTGCAAGAGGCGACAGGCTTCAAAGAAGTGCTGGTAGCGGCTATCCTTCATCAGTTTGGAGAGCTCCATGCAGGCGTCCAGGTGGTTGTTACAGTACTCAGAGTATATCCAGAATCCATCTTGCTATGAGCAGAGGAAAAAACAGAGAGAAATGGAAATGCTACTGAAGACTCCAAAAGAAGTTTTGGAGAAAGGGAAAAACAGACCCTGTTCTTATGTAGGAATATTAAAATGGTAACAATGTCAATTTTTCCTAAACTAATTCATAATTTAATAATAAAAATAAAGGAATTATTTGGGAACTAACAAACTAATTATACAAAATTCAAATAGAAAAAATAAATAAGTTGGAATAGTAAGGAAATTCTATAACAGAAGGGTAATGAGGAGAGACTGGCCCTGACAATAGTAAAGCAGATTATGGCAACAAAACTCTGGCACTGGATCATAAAAAGATATAGGTCAGAGGTTCTATTTCCAGCAATGGCAGACTAAATTGTTTTTGATAAATCCTACCACTGAGAAAAGCTATTAAAGGCTGGAAAAATATAATAAATTTGTTCGAAGGAATCATATCGTCTAGAGCCTCAAATTATCTCCATAGAATATCCCTTAGGAAATATGCCTTGGAGTATTTAGGGGTAAACAGGCCATGATGTATGCAAGTTAAACACAAAGGACTGAGGAAAAAAATACATGAGTGTATGTAATGTGTATGTACATATATATAAATATACATATAGAGAGAGGGGAGGAGAAGAGAGTAAGGAGAGAGGGAGAGAACCTTCAAATGATAAAGCAAAAGCAGTGAAATGATAACAATAGGTGAATCTGGGTAAATGATGCTTTGGTATCCTTGTATTGCTCTTATTTTTCAACTTTTCTGTAAGTCTGAAATTATTTTCAAGTTTTAAAAAAGCTCTACAATTTTTCTTCTACATTGTTCAGTACTCTTTCAAAAATAGCCTGATGTATGAGAATATAAGACATGAACAAAACCTCAGAGAAATAAAAGGCAATAGAAACTGATAGACAAAAAAATCAAGATGAAGTTATTACACACGTACTTAAAAAACTATTATTTAAAGAAAACTAAACAGGCAAGCTATACAGATCAAAAGAAATTAGAAAAAACATATAACAAAGGACTTATATCCAATATATAAAAAGAAATCTTAGAGCTTAATAATAAAAAGACAAGCAACCTAATTAAAAAAAAATACACAGGCAAAATAGTACATTAGAAGGATGATACATCATGATTAGGAGGGATTTATCCCAATTCAATTCACCACCTTAACATATTAAAAGATAAAAATCACATGATTGTTTCATTAGACACATAATAAGCACTTGAGAAAACACATTTATGATAAACGTCACCAGCAAGCAAAGAATAAAAAGAAACTTCTCCAAATGTGATAAAGGGTAAACATGAAAAACCTAAAGCTAATATCATTCTCAATGGTGAAATACTGAAAGCATGCCCCTAAGATCAGGTACAAAACAAAATATGCCTGTTCTCACCATTTCTAGTTAACACTGTACTGGAGGTCCTGGTCAGTGCAATACGACAAGGAAAGGAAACAGAAAGCATATAGATTGAAAAATAAGAAATAAAACTGTCTTTATTCAGAAATGACATGATTGTGTAAAATCCCAAGGAATCTATAAAAAAAACAACTAGAACCAATTAGTGAATTCAGTAACGTGTGAGAATTCAAAGTCAATATACAAAAATTAATTGCATTTCTATATCATAGCAACAAACTATAGGAAATTGAAATAAAATATCATTTATAATAGTAGAAAAAATTAAATACTTATAAATCAATTTTTAAAAATAAAGCCAAGATCTATACAATGAAAACTAGAAACAATGCGAGGAGAAATTACAGAAAACCTAAATAGATAAACAGGTAGATGTTCATGGAACACAAAATGTGTCAATTTTCCCAAAATTGATTTACAGATTTAATGCAATACTAATCAAAATGCTGGCAGAGATTTTTTTGTTTGTTTTCGCTTCTTGATAAAACTTGGCAAGCTGATTCTTTTTTTCCCCAGTTTTATTAAGAAATAATTGACATCACTGTATAAGTTAAAGGTGTACAGCATGATGGTTTGATTTACCTATATTGTGAAACGATGACTACAATAGGTTTAGTTAACATCCTTCATCTCACACAGATACAATTCAAAGAAGAGAAAAAAAATTTCTCCTTGTGATGAGATAAATTTATATAGAAGTACAAATCATAGCCAAAATTGTTTTGAAAAAGAAGGAATTTGGAGGACTTACGCTACCTGCTTTCAAGAATTGTTATGAAGCTACATTAATCAAGACAGCACGAGGGAAAAAATATTTGTAACTATGCATGGTGATAGATGTTAAGTAGACTTCTTGTGGTGATCATTTCACAATACATACATAAATCAAATCATTATGTTGTACACCTGAAACTAATATTATACTTCAATTATATCAATAAAAAACAGCAACAATAACAACAAAAAAAGACAGTGTAGTATTAGTATATGAATAGTTACATTAATCACTGGAACAGAATAGTATCCCTAAAAATGGACCCATATATATACTTGATCAATTGATTTTTGACAAACGTCTCCAGGCAATTCAGTGGGGGAGTCAGTTTTGTCAACAAATGGTGTTGGAACAACTGGATATCCATATGGAAACAAATTAACCTTGACCCTTGTTTTGCACTATATATAAAAATTACCTCAAAAAAGGATCACAGACCTAAATATAAGGAATAAAACTACACAATTTTTATAAGAAAACAGGAAAAAAATCTTTGTGACCTTGGGTTAGGCAAAGATTTCTTACAGAAGACTCCAAAAAACATGAGCCATAAAAGAATAAAAAATGATACACTGAATTTCAACAAAATCTTTGAATTTAAAAATAAACTTTTACTTATGCTTTTCAAAGACACAAGAAAATGAAAGGCTAAGCCACAGACTGGGAGAAAATCTTTGCAAATCACATTTCTGAGTAAGGATATGTAAACAGAATACAAAAAGAACTCTTGAAACTAAACAATAAGAAACCACCCACTTAAAAATGAGCAAAAGACATGAACAGACACTTCACCAAAGATTTGTATATAGATTGCAAATAAGTACATGAAAAAATGTTCAACATTGGGGGTCAGCCCAGTGGCGCAGTGGTTAAGTTTGCACCTTCCGCTTTGGTGGCCCGGGGTTTGCCAGTTCAGATCGTGGGTGTGGACCTAAGCACCACTTGGCAAGCCATGCTGTGGCAGGCATCCCACATATAAAGTAGAGGAAGATGGGTATGGATGTTAGCTCAGGGCCAGTCTTCCCCAGCAAAAAGAGGAGGATTGGCAGCAGATGTTAGCTTGGGGCTAATCTTCCACAAAAAATATAAATAAATAATGTTCAACATCATTAGCCATTATGGAAATACAAACTAAAACCACAATAAAACACCCAATACACACCTATTAGAATGGCTAAAATAAAAAATACTGATAATACCAAGTGCTGACAACCATGTGGAGTGACTAGAACTCTCATAATATATTACAAGTGAGGAAGCAAAATGGTACAGCAACTTTGGAAAACACTTTGGCAGTATCTTACTGTTAAACAAACATCTACCATGCAACCTAGTAATTCCACAGATATAAACAACCTAGTATACAACTCAGATGTCCTGGAATGAACTGGTGAATGGGTGGTATATCCAGACAATGGATTACTAAGAAATAAAAAAGAACTAACTACTGATATGTGCACCAGCATGGATGGATATCAAAGGCACTATGTTAAGAATCTAAACTCAAAAGATTACTACTGTATGATTCCATTTATTCTAGAAAAAGTAAAATTACAATAACAGAAAGCAGATTAGTGTTAGCCAAGGGCCTGGGGTTGGAGTAGAGACTGACTACAAAGGGAGAAAGAGAGAACATGATGAAGTGATATAAATGTTCTATATCTTGGTTATGATGACAGTTACACAACTATATACATTTGTTAAAACTCATGAAATTACACACTTAAAATTGGTGAATCTTATTATATGTAAATTATACCTAAACAAAGCTGATAAAAAACGAAATCATAGAGGGGCCAGCTCCATGGCATAGTGGTTAAGTTCAGCATACTCTGCTTCAGCAGCCCAGGCTTCCGTGGTCTGACCCTGGGTTCAGACCTACACTGCTTGTCAGCCATGCTGTGGTGGCGACACACATATAAAGTAGTGGAAGACTGGCACAGATGTTAGCTCTAGGATAATCTTCCTCAAGCAAAAAAAGAGGAAGATTGGCAACAGATGTTAGCTAGGGGCTAACCTTCCTCAGCAAAAACAAACAAACAAACAAGAAATCATAGAACTGCCTAATAAAAGGGTAAACAATCCAATTTTTTTAAAAGGGCAAACTAATACATAAAAAAGGATAATACACTATGATTAGGTAGGGTTTATCCTAGGAATACAACGTTCATTTAACATATGAAAATTGCTCAATCCAAATTCACCACATTAACAGATTAAAGGGTAAAAGCATATGATTATTTCAACAGATCAATGGTTCTTTTTGTCCCCCAGGGGACATGTGACAATGTCTGGAGAGATTTCTGGTTGTCACAACTGGGTGGTGGGTACTACTGGCATCCAGTCGATAGAGAACAGGAATGGGAATGCTGTTAAACACCCTACAATGCACAGGGCAGGCTCCAATTAAGAACCACCATTCTATATTCTACTTTCCCCACTCAACACTATGTTTACGATTTCTACACGCATTGCTATAAGGTACATACATCTAGTCTGTTGTTTCTTACTATATAATACCCCACAGTAAGCATCCCCCATGTTTCTCATCCATCCCTCAGTGATAAATCCCTAAGTTGCTTCTAACTGCATTCTACCACACACAACTCTGCCAGGCAATCAACAGCCTTGTAAGTGCTGCCTCATGGATCTCTGTGAGAATTTCCCTGGGATATTCAGGAATGGAACCACTAGGTCATATACATACTTAACTTTGATAAATAGTGTCCAAGTGCTTTCCAGAATGGCTGAACCAGTTTAAACAGTGTGCAGAAAAGAGTTAACATATTAGGCCTGATACTGTTATCCTTAGGAAGGCCTGCGTGAAAGGTTGGCCCTTGGCTGGCATCTTGGAAATTGACTCTTAAGAGGGTTCTCACCATTCCCTGACAAGAGTGGCTCATCATGCCTAAACTGTATATATAAACAATGTGGCTTATAACTGAATACCTGATTTCCTTCTGGGAGTCTGGAATTTTGATACAGGCGAGGCAGAAGATGCCTACATGACCAGCCCCTCATAAAAATCTTAGGCACTGAGTTCCTAATGAGTTTCCCTGGTAGACAACATTTCATATGTGTTGTCACAACTCATTGCAAGGGGAATTAAGTCCATCCTGTGTGACTCCACTAGGAGAAGACTCTTGGAAGCTTGCAACTGGTTTCCTTTAGATTCTGCCCCATGTGCCTTTTCTTTTGGCTCATTTTGCTTTGTATCCTTTAGCTGTAATAAATCATAGCCATGAGTATGACTATATGCTGAGGTCTGTGAGTCCTTCTAGCAAATCACCACACATAGGGGTGGTCTTAGGGATATTCCCCCAACACACATTCCAATAAGCAAAGCAAGAGAATCTACAAGAAGACCTACTTTTAGCTGCACACATTTATGTGCCATTTGGATTTTTGTATCATGTGCACATATTACCTCTTTAGAAATAAACACTTTATAAAAAGGGTAAGAAGAGTTGTCAAAACAATTAGATCACTTGTGAATGAGACCCAAAAGATGTTAGAGAACCACAGAAGTTTACAGTGAAATCATATACTCCAGATGAGGAAGCCCAAAGAAAGTAAGAGACTTAACCAAAGTTATCCAGAAGTGATTACAGACACAGGACTCAAATCCTCACTCTCCTGTTTCCTAGTACTCCTTCCTCTAAGTCACATGACCCCTTTTCCCACACTTGTCACTTCCCCTACCCTAGTGCTCCCCGTAAATGCCTTGCTACTTTGTCTAATTTCATGCTGACCATGGTCTTTCCTATTTCTTAGATTCCTGGGTTCTTCATTCAGTGAATAGGTACAGAGTCTCTCCCAAAACACTGGGTCCCATGGAAACTGAATCCAACAGGAACAGAAAAGAGAAGCTGAAGAAAAATCCTACTGGTAACTGTCTGGAAGAAGAAAGAAAAGGGAGGGGAAAGGTAAAGAGAGTCCTAGGGCAAATCACAGTACCTTCCTAAGTTCCTCATACACTGGCAAGGGGGTCAACATCAGGGTCAGAGAGGAATCCAACCCCCATCACAGGACAAAGCAGCTGAGCAGGACCTGACAGCTCAGACACTCCTTCTATCACTTCCTAACCCCTCTCAAAACCCTCCCCAAAGCGGAAGATGCTTACGTGCTCCAGAAAGCAGGGTCCTATCTCGCTGAGGTGGGGGTCATCATTGTTGTACTGTTTCTCCAGGTCTCTCACGAAGCCCATCTGAAACCTGTAGATGTCTTCAATGTTCCCAAAGATCACCTTCAGTTGCTCATCGCTGAACATGTCCCTTCTCTTCCGACATTGCTTCAGGTAGCCCTGCAGACAAAGAAAAAGCCCAGGCTGAGAATGTCTCCAAGTTCTCAAGGGCTTTACCACTTCCTAAGTACTTGGGAGCCTCATTTCAGTTCCATTAAATAGATAGGGAATAATCATTTCTATTTTTCATATGAGGAAATTGAGGTTTAGAGAAGGAAGTCACTCCACTAGTGAATAATTAAGAAAGCTGGATCTCAAGCAAAGGTCTTCAGAGTGCAAAGACTCCAGAGGATAGAGCTTTGCCCACCATGCTCTATGACAAGGACCCTAAAAGTCATAGGGCCCTTTCTCAGAAGCAGATTAAGCACAAACATTTTCACTCGTTTTAATACTTATTGGTTTAGCTGGATCCATTCACATCTCTCAAGTTCTATTTCTTATAGGATCAATCCAAAAGTTCTTAATAACATTGCTAATACTTTGGCAACAGAGGCCCAGGCAGGAAATCTTCTCAAAAGGGAACAGGATTTGACAAAACCAAACCATTCCTTAAAGAGAATGCCTTAGCCATTTAAGGTAGCTGGCCAGGAGAGACTGTTTAAATGAGCTCAGCCAACATGCTTACAAGTGCCCAGGCATGGTGTTTTTAACAGGGTAAGTGTTTACGATACATTTGTGAATAAATGGATGAATTACTACAGCTAGCCATCGAAGAAAAGGAAGAATCAATGAAAGAGATTTTTAGTCTGATAAGAGAGCACTGAGATAACAACCAGTCTCAAGGCACATTATAAGTCAGGGCGAAAAAAAACAGTCATCGTCTTCCATTCTGAACCTACTTGTATAAATAATTAACTAATGGCCACTGTCCTCATTAAAAATCATTAGCACGTGAAAATGTTCTTGGTGAGAATGAATTATGGTCATCTGCTTTCGTCTAAAAGCTAAATGCAATTTTCATAATACCTTTCTTAAGTGTTGAGCCCCTAATGCGGTGCATTGCAGTGACTGACTTACCACTTCTGGCCCTGTCTCTACCTCCATTTTCTCTCCCATAACATAGCTTCCAATGAGGTCATCTAGGCATACTCCAGAAAGATACTCATACCTGGCTTCAATGCCCTTTACCACCTCCTACCAAAATCAGTTCATTTCCCTTATCTCTCCTTACCCTCCAATTCAGCCATTAATTAGTAAGTGTCTTTCAACAGTTTGCAAATTAATAGTCTGTGCCTGTGTTGATATTTACTTAACTAATGGCTGCTGCCTTCATTGACTGACATGCTCAAGATGTCCCGCATTCATTCATATCCAATTCCTGACCAGGAAGACACCCTCTATTCCCAGAATACCCTTGTAGTTCTGCTCCTTTTACTGAAGTAGCTCCCAAAATTGTGCCTTCCTAGAAAGATTTCCTTGACTAATCGGGAGAGAGGCAATCAACTGCTGTAGGTCCCTCCATGCCTAATATATTCCAGGATTTGCTTTTCTGTCTCTCTCCCTTCACTTCCTCCTTCTTGCTTTCTCTTTCTCACCCTATCACCTTTGGAAGTGTCTTAGCTACAGTGGAGCAGGGAAAGCAGTGAGCATATCATCTGGCAGGAACTTTTCATCTTGACATTAGACAAGGGGGTAGAGACTTCCTCACTCCTGCTCCCACTTTTTATCCCCTAAGGTAGGCCTGTGAGCACAGCTGGAAAAAATTGGCAACAATGTCACATTAGCATGTCATTTCAGGGTAAGTAATAGGTATTGGTGAATGACCACACTGGGAGACAGAAGAAGCCAGCCTGGACAGCTCATTCATGCCCTGAGAAGCCAGTTCAGGAAACACTTAATAGTTTCGTTCACTGCTCCCATTTGAAAGGTCTCAGGGAAGGAACAAATTACCATCAAATCCCCAAAGTGCAGCAAGGATGCTAGATCTCAACATCAGTACGGAATATGATAAAATGAAAAAGAAGAAAAAAGTGGGCTCGGGAAAAGAAAGAACAGATAGAGATGTCAGTGCAGCTTCCTAACTTCTCAAAAATGCTATTCATTGCTATTGTCAAGGACATCATTTTCTTTTTATTGCATTATGTGTGTTGTAGCAAGGGAACATTAAGCTATATATTATGAGAAATGTAACTGCCCACAGGATGGTGGAACCCTAGAGTGTTTTGTCAACTATTTTTCTTTAAAGCTAATGCCAGATTATAAACATATTCTGGCACATTTAGCTTGATGTAATATTACATAGCCATTAAAAATAATGATTAAGAAGACGTTCTAGAAACATAGACAAGTATTCATTATACAACATTAAAAAGCAGAACACAAAATGGTATGTCACTATGATTATGACTCTATAAATAAACATACATATGGACAGAGTTGATGGAATTATGCAAAAGTGAAAACAGTTCTGTTATATTTGGTGGATTCTGGCTGATTTTTTTTCTATTTTCAAACTTCCTCTAATGCTGTTTTATAATTGTCTTTATGATAAAAAATGTGAAAAAGGTCTTTGCCAGACAGTGTAAAGAAAATATAGCCTCAAGAAGGCTGCCTTGAGCACAATATTATCAAGAAAAGGGGGAGAATCCAATGTCTTCTCAAAATCTTCAGTCCTAGTTTTTAAGACACATGACTTGCTGAAGGGATTACAAATAATAGATAGAAACTGCCCTTATCAAGGAAATAAGAGATAGGACATAAGAATATGGGAGTAGTCAGAGAACCCCAAGATATCACCATTAGCCCCCACACCACACAACAGCCTAGGCTTCTGAGGGAAGAAAGGCCAGGTGAGATGACTAGTTCCCTGGAGACTTGCTTTTATTTTTCATCCCCTTCCTTTGGCTGACCTGGTAATTATACCAAATTTTCCACAGTAACGATTAAAAGAGTCTTGGCTTAGGGGTCAATCAATATTTGTTTCTTCTCATTCACTCATTTTTGAGGGTACATAAGTTTAAGATGAGGTGGCAGTGGAATGAATGCTAAAAAACCTAATGCCATTTTAAGTTAGGGAAGAAGAAGGAACAGATTGAGAGGGTGCAATGAAAGAAGTAATACGAAGGTAGTCACATCACTGCAGGAGAGCAGCACTCAATTCTGAACCCTGTTTTCAGAGGAACATGGAAGAAAAAATACAAAGCCAGAGGAGAGAATGCAGGATAGAGAGGGGCCTGAAAAGCAACACAATGAAGAATGGTGGAAGGAGCCAGCACTGTTTGTCCTGGAGAAGAGAAGATTCAGGGGGCCTCTGAAGGCCTGTCACCGAGCAGAGGGAGCAGAAGGTGTCTGTGGTTCTTACTGTCAAGCATGCTTCAAACACCTTCTAACCCAATCTGAATGGTAAGAGAGAATGGGGTGATAAGGCAGTAGGTGTAAACTGATTTAAAAGAGGCAGTTTCTGAGAGCCTCACCTCCGCCTCCTAGGAGTTAAGTGGGCACGGGTGGAAAGGGAGGCAACAATTCTTAACAGTAGTAAGAAGTAACAGTAGTAAGTAGTAAGAAGTAGTTAAAAATACTGTGGGACTTATCAAATCAATCACCATTGCCACCAATTAGCCTTGGAATTGCCATGGTAACAGTCAAGAAAGGTTGTCTATCTATTTCACTGTGTTCTTAAATCCACATGGTTGATCTAGAAGTCTAGATATAGTTCATTAGGCTAGAATTGGTGCCTTGATATGGGATACAAACCATAAGCCATGTTCTCCAGGGAAGATCTCCAAAGAGCACAGGGAAATAAGATGGATCAAAGCACCTCTGGATCACTGAGGTTTTGAGTAACCCTTTAGGGAAAGGCCCTCATATGGGCCTCAGTGTCTCCACCTCTAAAATTCATATATCGTAAAAGATTTCCAGGGCCCCTTTCAGCTCTGACTTTCTAGAGATTTCATATATTGTTTTTCCTGGAAGCCTGAGGCCTGATAGGAGACCTGATAAACATCTTGAAAATAATTTTAAGAAAATCAGGTAATGATGACCATAGTTGTCCTGTGCACAGCTGTACCTCCAGAGTTTAATACAGTACCTGGCATATAGTTGCTGTTCAATAAATATATGTTGAAGAAATGCAAAATGACTAGCTCTTTTCATGATAATGATGAAAAAAGGTAAGTTAGAAGCAGAATGTTTAACTTGGTGGTTTTCTTTTCTTTTCTTCTTTCCCTTTTTGGGCCAGGAAATTCTTTTTTCAAATGAAATAAAATCATTAAAAAAACAAGAGAATGACAGAAAGAAGATATTTGCAAAATAGAAAACTGACAAGGGATTAATATTTGGAATATATAAGGAACTCCTGTAAACCAGCCAAAATAATATGAGAAACTCCAGGAAAATGGACAAACGATAGGAACAGAGCCTGGAGTGTCCACGTGGTATGGATGGGTAGGGCCTAGGGCAGCCAGAAACCCCTGGGCTTGTCACTTCAGGCTGATGAGCTGTCTCATCCCTTTAGCTTAGTATGCTATACAAAATTACTGTTTTATAAAATGTGTTATTTTCTATGTATATGCCAAGATTTAAAGACAATTGGGAAACATCAGTATAGTCAATTTACAGAAAGGAAAACCCAAATGGCTAATAAGTTTGAAGACCCCAGGCTTAAACATATCAAATGGAAATGACTTGAAGCTATAGCATAATAGACTCAATTAGGCCCTAGCAAGAATTTCTTGGTGGTGAAGGGTATGAGACACTAATACAAATGACTGAGGAAAGCTAGTCCATCTTCTCTGGAGGCAGTGGAAGACAGAATTTATTTCAAAGGTATGGGATGACAGATTATCTTCCTCAAGAGAGTCTGACAAAGCAACTTTATAAGACATCTTTAGCTTTGCTTGTCCTGTGTTTCAGTTTCCCTGAGTATAATATGAGTTCTAAGGTTACAAGAGGTAATACCACCAACCATTTGTCAAGGTGACCTAGAACTGAGCTAAGGCTCTTTTATTCTACTGTCTGGATTTGGAAAGAAGAATGTCATCTTTTGCAGAAAACTCATTTAAAAAGATCTTTTATCAGGGCCGGCCCCATGGCCGAGTGGTTAAGTTTTCATGCTCCACTTCAGTGGCCCAGGGTTTCACCAGTTCGAATCCTGCACGTGGACATGGCACTGCTCATCAGGCCACGCTGAGGTGGTGTCTCACATGCCACAACTAGAAGGACCTACAACTAGAATATACAACTATGTACTGGGGGGCTTTGGGGAGAAGAAGAAGAAGAAACAAAGAAGATTGGCAACAGATGTTAGTTCAGGTGCCAATCTTTAAAAAAAAATGATCTTTTCTCTTACTGGCCTCAATGATTTTGATAATAATCACTTTATTTCTATTTCTTCGTTTTTAAAATGAGGGTATAGTAACTTAAATGTTTGTAAAGCACTTTCTGCTCCTAGGAGTAAAAAATTATATATATTCTCTAACAGACAGTGACTTTTTTCTATACTGAATGCAGTGTCCCCCATTTATCCTTCAACAGCACAAGAGTGGGAAGTATTCAGAGATCTTCCTTAACCTATAGAAAGAGTAGATTATGCCATGTTAACACATTCATGCCTAAGATGTGCCTCCATGAGTACCAAGGACGAAACGGCAGAAAATGCAGATGTATCCTGGATCTCTACCACAGTTTTCTCTAGTGAGAGCATATCTAGATAGTACAGAATCAGAAAAAGTAAGATCCAGACAGCCCTTCAAGATCAACTCTTTAGAGTTGAGGAACAAGGCCCAAAATGGAAAAGACTCACCTGGGGTTTCTCAGTCAGTCAGTAACCAAGGTGGGACCTGAACCTGGGACTCACGATTTTGAGTCTGGTGTTCTTTCTAATAAACCATATTGCTCCTTACAGCTTTTGGTTTAGAAGTGATACAACCCTGGGCTAAAATACTGTCTTCTGGCTCAGCTTCCTCCACTTCTCTTTTGCTCTAGCTAAACCTTCCTTTGACACCTGTGGTTTCAGGGTGGGACAAAGAGACATTTCCCATTTAAACCCTTAACTTCAACACCAAGAATAATTGAGACATACAGAACCAGCAGATTGCCAGCAAGAGCTTTGCTTGGGTTGGCTGGATTGGATAAGTCCTCAAAGCAGGGACATAGCACTTCCTCTTCTGGAAAGATAAATACTTCCATTGCTGTCTTGAGCCTGTGCCCTGCAGGAAGAGGCCAACATATTTGGGAGCTGGGAACAGAAGAGTCCTTCTAAGACTAAAGAACTCCCACTGGGCCAGTGCCTGAGAACAACAGGAAAGTAATTTTGCCTCTTAGAGACTCAGTCTATTGATCTAGAAAATAGGAATAACAATCATAACTTTTGAACTGTCTGAAAATCAAATGGCATAAGATGTGAATGTATTTTGCTGAAGTAGTACCTGCATGTGAGAACTTATATTTAATTCTGTCAACAATATTTATTGAGCATCAACCATGTGCCAGGCACTGTGCTAGGTGTTTTGGATGTATCAGTAAATCAACAGGTGAAAACACATATCCCTCGTGGAATTTACTTTCTAGTAGGGGAGATGGACAATAAACAAAAGATATGAGGGAAATATATAATACGTCAGATAGCAATAAGTGCAATAGAGGAAAATAAAGCAGGAAAGGGGGAGAGATAGCACAAAGTTACAATTTTAAATAGAATGGTCAGGAAAGGTCTCAAGTCAAAGGTGATATTTGGGTAAAGACTTGAAGGAGGTGATGAAGGGAGCCATGTAGACATCTGGGGGAGGAGAGTTCTAGGCAGAGGGAAAAGTCAATGCAAAGGCTGGGAGCGGGGAGCATGCCAAGCATTTTTAAGGAATAGAAATAGGCCAGTGTGGCTGGAGTAGTGACAGCATGTGGGAAAGGAGCAAGAGATGAAGTCACTGGGGTAAGGAAGGGTTGATCACACAAGGCTTTGTAAGTAATAATGACAACTTTGGCTTTTACTCAAGGAGAAATGGTGAGCCATTGGAGGGTTTCAAGCAGAGGAGTGATATGACCTGACTTAGGTCTTGACAGCATCCCTCAGCTGTCAGGTAAAGAACAGACTGTACTTACTAGCATTACAGATCCTATGACATTGTAAGACAGCTATCATTTTATTTATTTATTTATTTACTTATTTTTTGAGGAAGATTAGCCCTGAGCTAACTACTGCCAGTCCTCCTCTTTTTGCTGAGGAAGCCTGGCCCTGAGCTAACATCCGTGCCCATCTTCCTCTACTTTTTTATATGTGGGACGCCTACCACAGCATGGCTTGCGAAGCAGTGCCATGTCTGCACCCGGGATCCTAACTGGTGAACCCTGGGCCACCGAGCAGCGGAATGTGTGAACTTAACCACTGTGCCACCGGGCCGGCCCTGACAGCTATCATTTTACAGCAGTGCTCCTCAAACTTTAATATGTATTGTAAGTCAAATGGCAACATTGTTAAAATGCAGATTTGAAGTCAGTAGGTCTGGAGTGAAGCTAAAGATTCTTCATGTCTAACAAGCTCCCTGGTGATTCAGATGTTGCTGATCCAGGACAGAATACTTTGAGGGTAGGAACTATGTCCAGGGACTGGCATGGAACAGAACTCCACTAAATGTTTGCTGAATGAATGACATAGCAGTGGTTTGATACCCAATGCCACATAGCACATTCCAGAAGGTAATTTTTTTTAAGTATCAGCCATTTGTGTGAAGATAGAGGGAAGAGAAAAAAAGAGAGACATAGATGGATGGGTGAACAGAAGAAAGGGGAGGGGAAAGAAAGGAAAACTACCTTTTTCAAAATACTTGCAATATTATGTTTAATTTCCTCAATAAACTTAAGAGGTTAGTACAATGAAGCCGACTAGACAAATCAAAAAAATCGAAGGTCAGAGAAGTTAAGGGGCAACTTCAAGGCCACAGGGTTAATTAGTGACTAAGTTAGGATGTGAAAGTGAGCACCCCATGTCCCCAGAGCCCTTGTTCTTTCCACTCTACCTTACTGCCTCACACAAAGGGGAGACAACCTTCAATCTTCCTGGGAGGGGTGAGAAAATGAGTTGAGGTGAAGAAAGTTAAGGCCCACAGTCTTTGGCTATGACATTTCCATAGCTGCGCTATCCAGTGTGGTTGCCATTAGTCACATGTGGCTATTTAAACTAAAAGTAAATAAAATTTAAAATTCCATTTCTCAGTCACACTAGCCATGTCTCAAGTGCTCAATAGCCACATATGGCTGGCTAGTGGCTACTGTATTGTGGAGAGCAGATACAGAACATTTTTATTACTGCAGGAAGTTCCATTGGGCAGCACTGTTCTAAAGAAACAAGAAGTTTAAAAAATATTAGAGCTCTACTATTAACTCCAGAGTAGGCCCTGGCCCCACAGAAAAGGGCTGGGGGACAGAAAGTAGGACCTCATCCCTCAGCTGGAAGGAAAGGGATAAAATATTCAAAGTTGAGTTTTCCCTGGGTCAAGGAGAATGCTATAGTGTGTGTGTGTGTGTGTGTGTGTGTGTGTGTGTGAGAGAGAGAGAGAGAGAGAGAGAAACAGAGAGAGAGAGAGAGACAGAGAGAGAAATCCTTTAAAAGCATTCTTTTCTCCATTTCCCATTGGTTCTCCCAAACCGTTTAGTAAAATGTCCTTTGAAAATGCCAACTTGTCTCTGCTGAGCTCAAGGGAGTATGAGGAAAAGAGTTCTCATCCTCACTCAGGTCAAAAAGATGGAAAGGATGGAGTTAATGAATGTGGAATCACAGCCTCTGGATGCCAAAGTCACATAGTGAAGGAGCTGAGACTTGTCCACCCAGCCTTTATCTCCTACAGATACCTCTCCCTAAACTATTTTCTGCTCAAAGCCAAAACCAGTATTCTTCAAGTGAGGGAGAAAGACCAGCAGCATCAGTATCACCAGGGATGCTTGTTATACATAGCGATGCTTGTGCTTTACCCCAGACTGAGAATTCACAACTTTGGGGATGGTAGAAGGGGGCTGGAATCTGCATGTTTAGCAAGCTCCCCCAGGGACTCTGGTGCATATTCAAGTTTGTGAACCACTAGCTTGGAGGGAGATGTGTTTTTGCTTTAATGAATGAGGTCAGGTCCTTACACTGGGTGGCAACAACTGGGTCAGAAGCCAAGAGGATAGGCGTAGATATTCAGGGGAGGGAGAGATGCAGAGAGAGAGAGAGACAGACAGAATATAAAAGTTATACAGGCCAGTAGACAGAGAAAAGGAGAGAGACAGAGAGACTGAGAAGCCCCAAGGGAGCAGTTTCAACCACTGAAAAGCATAAAGGAGACCAGTCCAGCTGCTCTTTCCAACATCTTGGGACTATTACAATTAGGGCCCAGGGGAGTTGTCAGGTCTTCATGGAAGTGCCCTCTACTCCACCCTGAGTATCCCCACATGCATTATCATAGCTGGGCCTACCTCACAAATGTCCTTGAGGTGCTTGATGTAATGACGTTCGGTGCTCATGATCTCATTGATGACATTGGCCCGCATCTGGTCCCGGTTCTGTAGTGGCCGGCCCAGACAAAGGCAGTCTGAGTTGGGGTCCAGGTGCCCATTCTGCACATCACTGGGCCCTTCCTCCACTCCATCCTCCTGGTTCACCCAGAGCTGTGGAAGTAGACAGAAGAATAATAATGAATTATCTTTCTTCTCTGAAAAGTTTCCAGCCAAGTAGAAAAAGAATAAGCTAAACTCTTCAGGTATTCAGAGAGCCTTCAACCAGAGGCCCCTGGAAACTGAATCTCAGGCCTAGCTTTAGCGACTTGCTGGTCCTATGCATGAGTATAATCCTCTCTAGGCCTCTGGTGACCTATCTGTAAAATGGAGGATGGGGAAAGGTAGGACTAAATCATCTCTAAGAGACTTAGCTAAAAAGGTTTCAGATGAGAGAAGAGTTACAGCAAGCAGAAGTCATTCATGCTGGTGCCTATCTAGGCAGCACAGCTGGATCAAAAAAAATGATTAAGCTATATATCTTGGGTGCCACAGCTGGATTATGGGATTACCAATACCTACGAGCATGGAGACCAAAGTTGGATACTGGAGTGAGCATCTCAAAACCAGGGCCTTCAGTGTTGATTTCCATCAAAGGATATACAATTAATCATTAAAATTTGACTGCAAAATTCCTTAGATATGCAAAGATCTCTAATTCCTCAAATTTGGAGTGAAGATGGCAGAATGTTCCCATACCACATAATAGCAACAGCTGTTGATTGGGCACTTACTATACACTAGCCACTATGATAAGAGCTGTCAATGAACTGTATTATTCAGTCTTGCTAGACAGGTGCCATTTTTACCACAATTTCATAGAAGAGGAGACTGAGGCTCAGAAAAGTTAAGAAACTTGTCCAAGTCACACAGTTAGGAAGCAGAGGAACTGGGATAGGAGCCAGTCTGATTCCAGAGCCTGTGATTTTAACCACTGTGCTAGCACATTTGTGCCTCTGGTTCTAAGGGAAACAGGAAAACAGTATGGAAGCGCTTGGGCTTATGTAAGCTGAGAATTATCAGAATCATCAAAAATGGGCACAGTTAGTAGAGGTTGAAACTATCCATTCCAAACCATGAAGGCAAAGGGATGTAGAAAAAAATCTCCTTTAGGGAGGCTGGGTGAGATGTTTCTGGATCTGGGATGACATAGCTTAAATCAGGGAGACGGCTCATTTCACCCCAGTCCTAGGAGGGAGGAAAACCAGAGGGAGGGGAGAAAAAGAAGCGTGGGACCTTAAGAAGAGTGGTAAAATCTGCCAGGAGAATTAGCTAAAGAGCTTGCCAGTTGTCTCAACAGCTTTAAGCAACAATCCATCTTTTTCCTTCCATAACACCTAGTTTTTTCCATATTCCTGCCTCAAGAAGCTGAGATCAAGCAATTTAAGTACATCCTGATTTCTGCCACCAGATAAGTCTGATGGTGGGTGGCCTTAGGGGGACAGAGGCTTCAGGATGGAGCTAGAAGGAACAATAGTTACTTCACAACTCTGTGTGTTCTACTCTCTACCTTTGCCTCAGAGAAGGTGGGGAGCATGGTTACCACCCAGTGAACCTAGAGATGTAACCAGTATATATTCTACTTATTTGCCACAGGCCAAAGCAAGTAGGGCTCACTCTATTTTAATGCATTTTGCATACAAGCCAAATGTGAAAACCTCTGCAAATGCTCTATTGAAAATTTCTTTCCAGCTTCCAAAGGTCAGTGTTGTGTTTTCAATATGCTAATAGCTGCCCTTTACTACAATCAACAGGCAATGATGAGGGATGATTATTCAAGGAACAGATATTTTCAAAAAGGTGATTCTAGGAGGTGAGGTCAGCATCATGGCAGAGTAAGTTGTCCCCTTTGTCTCTCCCCTCTAAGTTACAACTAAATGGACAATCATTAATCAACAGAGAATTTCCTACATAGCATGATAGGACACCTGAGAGATCCATGCAGCCATACATTTGAAGGTGGATGGACTGCATCCCTGGGAAACAGTGGAACTAGGTGAGCGGATCCATCTCCTTCCCTGGTGGCAATGACCCAGGACACCTGACCTCACATAGTGGCCTACATGACTGTAAGAGGAGGCAGAGGCAGCCCAGCCTACACACAAATGCTTTCAGAGTGGTACCTGGCTTGCAGGAGAGCCCACCATGCTGCAGCAGCACTACTCATGGGAATGCTCCCCACCAAGTGGTGGCAGGTCAGCCCCCACAAAGGAGCCCTGCCCACAAAGTGCAGCAGCTCAGCCAAACAGCCTGTAAGAACATAACTGGCCTGTATGTGAAAGAAAGCATCCCTCCCACCTAATGTGGAGAAAAGGGAACCCTCACATACTGCTGGTGGGAATGCAAACTGGTGCAGCCACTATGGAAAACAGTATGGAGATTTCTCAAAAGTTTAAAAATAGAAATACCATATGATCCAGCTATCCCACTACTGGGTCTTTAGCCAAAGAACTTGAAATCAACAATTCAAAGAGACTTATGCACCCCTATGTTCATGCAGCATTATCCACAATAGCCAAGATGTGGAAGCAACCCAAGTCTCCATCGACTGATGAATGGATAAAGATGTGGTATGTAAATAAAATGGAATACTACTCACCCATAAAAAAGACAAAATTGTCTCATATGAAACAACATGGATGGACCTTGTGGGTATTGTATTAAGCAAAATAAGCTAGACAAAGAGAAACACCACATGATTTCACTCATACGTGTAAGATAAACAGACACATGGATAAAGAGAACAGATTAATAATTACCAGAGGGGAAGGAGTTGGGGGTGGGTAAAAGGGGTAAAGAAGCACATATCTATGGTGATGGATAAAATTATACTATTGGTGGTGAGCATGATGCAGTCTATACAGAAACTGATAAATAATAATGTACACCTGAAATTAGACAATGTTATAAACCATTATGACCTCAATAAAATAACTGAAAAAAATAAAGAAGATAATATGATATTTAATCCAGTGCTTGAGCACACAAACAAAAGAAAAACAACAAAAAAGAAAGTGTCCTTCCTGCCTAGTGCACAGCTCAGCTGGTCCCATGCTGAGTGCAGTGGCCCTGCCTGCACAAGAGCAACCTACTGGCAGAGCACAGAGGCCCCACATGTGTGTGTGTGTGTGTGTGTGTGCGTGCACGCACGCACGCATGACCTTCCGAGCAGCTGTGGCCAGCCCATGCAAACACAGAGCAGCCCTACGGGCACAACTTCCAGCAGATGGGGCGGGATTAGAAAACATGATTCCTGTAACCCACTAGCAGTGGCAGGTGGAAACTGACCTGACACTACCACAAATGTGCCTGCAAAGGACCAATTCATCAAACACCATGAAGAACTACAGTAAAACTTCAGAGCAGATGGAAAATGACAAGGGTCTGGAAACCAATCCTGAAGTCACAGAAATTTACAATCCAAATGACAGAGAATTCAAAATAGTTGCCATAAAGAAACTCAACAAGTTACAAGCAAACTCAGAAAGATAGTTCAATGAGCTCAGGAATAACATTAATGAGCAGAAGGACTACTTTACCAAAGAGATTGAAGCTCAAAAAGAAAAACCAAACAGAAATTCTGGATATGAAGAACACAATTAATGAGTTAAAAATAATCTAGGGGCTGGCCCCATAGCCGAGTTGTTCAAGTTCCACATGCTCCATTTTGCTGGCCCAGGCTTCATGGGTTTCGATTGCAGGTGCAAACCTACTCCATTCATCAGCCATGCCATACAAGCATCCACATACAAAGTACAGGGACATTGGCACAGATGTTAGCTCAGGGCTAGTCCTCTTCAAGCATAAAAAGAAGAGGATTAGCAATGGATGTTAGCGCAGGGCAAATCTTCCTCACACACACAAATAATAATAATAATAATAATAATAATGTAGAAACCATAAAAAATAGAGCTGACGTTATGATGGATAGAGTTGGTGATTTAGAGGATAAAATTACAGAAATGCTTCAGGTGGTGAAGAGAGAATTAAAACTTAAAAAAAGAAGAAGAGGTTCCTTGAGAAATATCAGACTCAATGAGGAAAAGCAACACAAGGATTATAGGTATTCCAGAGGGAGAAGGGGGGCAGAAAGGAGCAGAGAGTTTGTTCAAAGAAATAATAGCTGAGAACTTCCCAAACCTTGGGAAGGAACTGGGCATACAAGTACATGAAGCTAAAAGAACTCTTAATTACATCAATGCAAAAAGCCATTTTCTAAGGCATATAATGTTAAAACTGGCCAAAGTCAATGACAAAGAAAAAATATTAAGGGCAGCAAGGTGGAAGAAAATAACCTACAAAGGAACTCCTATCAGGCTTTTAGCAGATTTCTCAGCAGCAACCTTACAGGCGAGGAGAGAATGGAATGATATATTCAAAATACTGAAATACAAAAACTTTTAGCCAAGCATACTCTATCCAGTGAAACTATCCTTCAGATACGATGGAGAAATAAAAACTTTCCCAGATGAACAAAAGTTGAGGGAGTTCAACACCACCAAGCCTGTCTTACAAGAAATGTTGAAAGCTGACCTCCCATATGAAAATAAAAAGCAAAGATTTAAAAAATACTGAGGGGCCAGCTCAGTGGTATAGTAGTTAAGTTTGGCATGCTCCATTTCAGTGGCCTGGGTTCATGGATTTGGATCCCAAGCATAGACATACACCACTCATCAGCCATGCTGTGGTGGTGACCCACATATAAAGTGGAGGAAGATTGGTACAGATGATAGCTCAGGGCTAATCTTCCTCAAGCAAAAGAAAAAAAAAAAGGAAGATTGGCAACAGATGTTAGTTCAGGGCTAATCTTCCTCAGTAAAACAACAACAACAATAAAAACATTGAGCAAGGAGATAGACAGACAGATACAATCAGAAAATTGGAGCTCTACATAAAAATAGGTTAGTAAACACTTAATTATAATATAAAAGATAAAGGGAAAGAAAGCATCAGAAATAACCATAAACACCTCAATTTATTCACAAACTCACAACACAACAAAGAACAATTTGTGATAACAATAACATAGAAGGGGAAGAGGAAATAGATGGAACCTGCTTAAGCTAATGGAGATAAGAGGCTATCAGAAAATGGACTATCTCACCTAAAAGATC